TATAATAGCTACAAAAATTTGCATTTTTTTGCGTTTGGTTTTGTCGTGTATTAAATTTATTATATAAGCGTAATTATAAATAGTCCATGGGCGTCGGAAACGGATTTCAGATTTGCTATTGGTCGATCCAGGTGTCAATCATCTAGTAAAGTGGGCGGGATTAAAGGAAAATGGCGACTTTATCTGTCGGAGAGCCTCGAGATGGAAGGTGAGCTGATTTGTGTATTTTTAACGATTTATTTTTAACGGAGACTAAAAAAAACCGATTATTCATTTTGCTCTCTCACTTTATAACCAAGCTGAGTTTTTATTTTTAATCGGTTCATATATCAGTGTGCTCTTACCATTCATTCAGACTGCAATGTGTGATTGTTTACGTTTATCACACAGCTAACTAAAGCTACTCTTATAGTCTGCACGCATGAAATGACGATAAAGGCTGCTTCATTTCTTGGTTTCTCTTTGGAGTGTATTTAAATGCCAGACCTCTGTTCAGGTGTGTGTTTATTAGTGGACGGGGCGTCAATGCCAGCACACCTTGCTGGTTAGCTAATGTAGCCCACCAGCTCACATTAAGTTACTTGTCAAAGTCTGACCTGTTTGGATGGATAAAGTGTAGGAGAACCTGAATGTGAGCTATCAGACGTGACAAATCGAGCTTTTCTCGACGCCTCCATTTGTTTCCAGCTGCTGTATCAGCAGTTTGCTAGCATGCTGCTGTTGTGGGATGAGGGTGTGTGTGGGATGGGTTCATCTAATAGATGGAGGCTTTGAAATTGTGCTTTCAGATTAAAATCGTGCTATCACGATTATTTGGTCCAGATAGCAGCAGTGGCATTTTGTAAGCCGGTTAGTATTGTGGGTGTGTCCTAATTATTAATTGTTATTCATAAAAACTGTGATTATAAAGTGGACCGGAGGGGTGAGTCTGAGGAATCTGGTGATGATGAGACCAAGAGGAAGAGTCTCAATGGAGAGGTCGACTCCTTGCAAGCCCCTTCGACTGGTGAGACCACCTTGGCGCAAGGAAAACAATTAAAAGGATGATCTGTATGATCTGTTTCCTTACCGCTTCTCTCGCTTCCCTTTTTAGTACCCGAGGAGTCACCTGTTGACATGGACACCATAACCTTAGATCCAGATGAAGAGGTGAAACATTCAGTTTTTGAAAGGTTAGACCAGGGGTGCCCAACCCTGTTCCTGGAGATCTGCCTTCCTGCAGAGTTCAGCTCCAACCCTGATCAAACACAATTGAACCAACTAATTAGGATCTGAAGGAGCACTTGATAATTACAGACAGTTGTGTTTGATCAGGGTTGGAACTGAACTCTGCAGGAAGGCAGATCTCCAGGAACAGGGTTGGGCACCCCTGGGTTAGACGGATGATGTTATTAGCACTATGATTCATTGTGTGTTAATTATTTCTTTAGGATGTGGATCTGGTCCACTGTCGCATTGGGAAGATTGAGGGTCTGGAGGTTCTTCGGAAGGCAAAGGTGAGAGTATCAAATGCTGGGTGTTTTTGGGGGGTAATATAGTAGGGTTGTCTAGTTACTGGATGTAGATTTGCTTATTTGGAGTATCAATTAATTGTGCCCAATTACAGATCGTAAATTGAGTCCTTTTCTTTGTTTCTATCATCAGACGATTTCTCTGAGGCAAAACCTCATCAAACACATTGAGAACTTGGACAGCCTCGTCTCATTGAGGGAACTCGATCTTTATGACAACCAGATCCGCAAACTAGAGAATCTTCAGGCCTTAACAGAGCTCGAGTAAGTCAGACATGATGCTTATTATTTTGTACAGACCTTTGTTTCTCAAAAATACATGTTATTTATACACTGCTATTCAAAAGTTTGCATTCAGTGTTTTTTTTTTAGCAGTTTAGTAATAATGCATTCAAGTTGTCAAAAGTATCATATCATACAATGATTTCTGAATGATCGTGTGACAGAAGACCGGAGTAACAGCTGCAGAAAATTCAGCTATGCCATCAAAGGAATAAATTACATATTAAAATAGAAAAGAGTTCATTTTTAATTGTAATAGCATATCACAATATTGCTTTAATTTTTTCACGGTATTTTTTTAAATAAAATAAATGCAACTTTGGTGAGCAAGATACTACTGACCCCAAACATATGAGCAGTAGTGTACATACGCGACTTAACAGTGAATAAACCACATTTATGATAAGCATGTCAACCCTCTACATTACTAGTGAATAACTCGCATATGCGACTAAATCAGGCCCTATGCACACGAACGCGGTTATTTTTAAAACCGTAGCTTTTCTACGTGGTTAGGCCATTCGTCCACATGCAAACGCAGCACCAGCTCACTGAAACCGCACATTTTTGAAAACGCCTGCCAGGATGAAGATTTTCAAAAACTCCGGTTGCAGTGTTATCGTGTAGACAGCGAAAGCGGCATTTTTTTTGCTTGTGACGTCGGAGCATGCGCTGTTATCTCTGCCTACTGGAAACTTTTTTTGAGATTATATCGCCACCTGTTGGTTTGGCATGCTCTTGACAGTGCTTCATAGCATGCGCTTGCATTTTCATGTGGATGGAGATTTTTTTTTTAAATGGAAGAAGGAAAAACTCACTTATTATAGTCCATTTTGATTTCAGCAAATCAGTTCGAGCGAACGCACAACCTGGGGCCTCATGTATAAAACTCTACGTAGATTTCATCCTAAATGTATGCGTACACGCACAAGCTAGATTTTGCGTATGTACAAAAGTTTTCAGATTTATAAAACCATGCGTTCGCCAGAAACTTTGTAATACCCAGTCAGCGGAAGATTGTGCGTACATGAATCTCCACCCCGTCTCCTCCCCGAAATAGCCATATGTGGAGCTTACAACACCTAGTTTTAATATGCGTAATGTAATCTGCATATAATTTCCATGCATATTCCATCCACGTGACACCAGGTTTAACGCCGTTAAGGGTACAATACATCAGGAAAATCTTTTAAATATGGTGTTTTGTTGCAATATTGGGAAGATCATGAAAGGGGTTATCATTAGGCTACTGTCTGTGCGCAACACCTGTGAACAGAGGGTCTAGAGTACTGTCATCAAATTTGTTCAAACCAGCCAATGGACTGTTCGATCAACGAGCACATCCTTATATCGGTCATTATCGTCTATGTTCTAAAGCCAACAAACAAAGTCAAAGTTCACAAAAATGATGATTATTATTTGCGAAAAAGTATTTTCTCAGAACATGAGTTTTGCTATTTAGAACACAATTTAAAGTGGAATTAACATGTGCCAAGCAATCCTCGCTGTGATTAAAACATTAAATTGCATACCACAGGAAAATAGTTCGAAAGCAGCACATCCACTGCAAATATTTTTGTTTAAATTCATATAAAAATGTTGTAACTTCTGGATAATTTCATGAAATTTCAGTGCTTCACTTCATTGAGTGTCATAAATGTGTATGTCAAATGTAAAACAGACTTTAAAATCATTCTGTTTGCTTTATTTCGCTAATAGAGTGCGTACGCATGGTCTAGAGCAGGGGGTGCCCAATCCTGTTCCTGGAGATCTACCTTCCTGCAGAGTTCAGCTCCAACCCTGATCAAACACAATTGAACCAACTAATTAGGATCTGAATGAGCACTTGATAATTACAGACAGGTGTGTTTGATCAGGGTTGGAACTGAACTCTGCAGGAAGGTAGATCTCCAGGAATAGGGTTGGGCACCCCTGCTCTAGAGTGTTCATACGGTGTGCACATATTTACTCACACCGATATGTGTGTGGAAAATTGCAAACTTACATTTCCATGCCCATTTTGTGCATACGCAACATTTATACATCGGGCCCCTGATTAATATTCATGAATCCAGCAGGTCGTTAATCCTTAGTGCATTTTATATTGTTCTTAGAATTCATAGTATTATTATTATCTTAAGTATTATTGTTAGTTTTT